GTGTGTGTGTGTGTGTGTGTGTGTGTGTGTGTGTGTGTGTGTGTGTGCAGATGGTGGATTAGAGGAGATGGTGGAGGAGCTGAACTCTGGAAAGGTGATGTACGCTTTCTGTCGAGTCCAGGACCCAAACTCTGGTCTGCCCAAATATGTCCTCATAAACTGGGTGAGGCACACACACACACACACACACACATACACAGAAATACAGAAATATCCAGAAAAAGATGCTATTCGCCCAGTTATTAGGGTTCATGTGTGTGTGTGTCTATGTGTGTTTGTGGACAGACAGGTGAAGGTGTGAAGGACTCCAGAAAAGGAATGTGTGCCAACCATGTGAGCTTGATGTCCAACTTCCTGAGGGTGAGTGTGTTGTCTCTAAAATGCTGCAGTGTATCTTTAACCACGAGTCACATGTCAACATGTGTGTGACAACATGTGTGTGACTTCAGGGTGCCCATGTGACCATCAACGCCCGCGGAGACGAAGACGTGGAACCAGAGACCATTCTGGAGAAAGTGGCCAAAGCCTCCGGAGCAAACTTTCATTTCCACAAACCGAAAGAATACAGAGACGCTCCGAGAGGAGCCGTAGTGAGAAACACATATACTGTATGTATCATCTGAAATAAATAAGTTCACTAATGTGTTTATAGAGAGAAACATGAATATATATTAAATATATTCACTAATATGTTTATAGAGAGAAACATGAATATATATTAAATATATTCACTAATGTGTTTATAGAGAAAAACATGAATATATATTAAATATATTCACTAATATGTTTATAGAGAGAAACATGAATATATATTAAATATATTCACTAATATGTTTATAGAGAGAAACATTAATATATATTAAATATATTCACTAATATGTTTATAGAGAGGAACATTAATATATATTAAATATATTCACTAATATGTTTATAGAGAGAAACATGAATATATATTAAATATATTCACTAATGTGTTTTTAGAGAGAAACATTAATATATATTAAATATATTCACTAATAGGTTTATAGAGAGAAACATGAATATATATTAACTATATTCACTAATATGTTTTTAGAGAGAAACATGAATACATATTAAATATATTCACTAATATGTTTATAGAGAGAAACATTAATATATATTAAATATATTAATCAGTTTTCCTTCATGATCTTAGTGCAACATCTAAAACAGGATTCATGTGTTTTAAAAATGTGTTTTTCTGTGACGTCATCTTTGGCTCTGATGACGTCATAGTGATGTCATCAGGGCGATCTCAGTTTGAGATTCAAACGTCTGTATTACAAACTGGAGGTGTGGAGTTAAAAGAAGCAGAGGGGGTCTACAGAGAAGATGCTATTGAACTGCATTGTGGGAAATGTAGGATTGTGTGTATGATTGTAAAACCTTCTGAGGCAAATCTCTAATCTTTGTTATTTTGGGCTCTAAACACACAGGACTCTGGAGACAAAGCTACATTTCCTCCTAAACGTATTGATCTTGAGTTATTAGTCATAAAAGTGTCATAACTCAGAACTTCTCTGATGTTTCAGGGTTCTGTGTATCAGAAGGTCAACGCTGTGGACGAAATCCAACAAACCAGAAAGGACGATTTCTGGGTTCAAACTCAGGTTTGTCTTCACGTTCTTCCTGAGTTTATAAAGTGAAGTGTGATCTCATCTGAAAATAAAACCACCGTCTTCTTCAGAGGGAAGAAGAGGTTCGTCAACAGGAGGAGAACCAACGACTGGAGAGGGAGAAACAAACGCTGGAGAGGGAGAGGAGGGAGATGGAGGAGAAGCAGACGAAGGAGAGGGAGAAGAAAGCGAAGGAGAGAGCTCAGCAGATCGAACAGGAGAAGTGAGTCTGAAACAAGAACAACATCATCAAGAACAGAAAGAACCACAGCTGACTAGTTATTTCTGTTTGTTTAGGGTCCATCAGAAGAAGAGAGAAGAAGAGGACCGAGAGAATGAGCAGCAGACACATGTGGGTCCATCAGAACCTTTCTTCAAATTATCTTTGGTCTGAACTGTCCATCACATCAGGTCCGCCAGGGCCACCAGATCCATCAGGTCCATTAGGTCCATCAGGTCCACCAGATCCATTAGATCCATCAGGTCCATCAGATCCATCAGGTCCATTAGGTCCATTAGGTCCATTAGGATCTATCAGGTCCACCAGGCCCATCAGATCCATCAGGTCCATCAGATCCATCAAGTCCATCAGGTCCATCAGGTCCATCAGATCCATCAGGTCCATTAGGATACACCAGGCCCATCAGATCCATCAGGTCCATCAGATCCATCAGATCCATCAGGTCCATCAAATCCATCAGGTTCATTAGGTCCATTAGGATCCATGAGGTCCATCAGATCTATCAGATCCATCAGATCCATCAGGAATAAAAGCATCAGATCCATCAGGTCTATCAGGTCCATCAGGAACAAAACCATTAACTGTGAACATCACTGACATCTGACGGACCAGAACGCTGTTGTTCTGAAGGTTAAAAGAGACGTTTCATTCACAAATAAAATGAACTGTTTACTATAATAAATATGAAAACAATGTGCCGATAACATGATGTGTCTGTTTTAGAACCTGCAGGAAAATGGAAACAGGAAGTCGGGCATCAACTTCGCTGCGTCGGTGCAGAAAGCGAATGTATGTCAGCAAATAATATCATCATATTAAGATGGAGCTTCAGAAGAGTCAATATGTATGCATGAAATGATCACAGAGGTTTGTGTTATTTCAACTACAATACCCATGAGCCTCAGCTGCTGTTTCTACGGAGAAGAAACTGTCTAAATGAGATAGTGAATCTATTTAAACTACACATCATGTTTTTAGCTATAACTCGCTGTTAGTGGCTCACATTATAGAATTTAAAGCTGTGATTGGATGTTTCTTACCAAAGTGCACCCTGGGAGTTGTAGTGTCCTTCAGTTATTTAAATTGTTTTCATCAAGGTACCAGATATGTTTCTTACAAACTGAACATGTAAAGTTTGTGTTTACCGATCAGGTCTAATGAAAGAAGCTTTTGAGTTGCATTATGGGAGATTTAGGATCCTGCATTTTTTTTGCTGGACTCATGACAATTGTTAAGTACTAATATTAAATACTATTTATTAAATACTACATGCAATACTAAATAGTTATATTACCCCTTTAATCTCTGGCTGTGGTTCACAGGAGGCCAAATCCCTGATTTCTCTGAGGTCATTTAACCCCAGAGACGTCTTCAAGCAGAGGGAGCAGAGCTTTGAGTCTGCTGCTGCATCCAGACCAGGTGAACCTCCACAAATAAATAAGCTCAATCACACAGTCGTTCATAATATTCATGTTCTCATTCTGTGTCTCAGGGAACTTTTTATCTCAGAAGTCCTTTGAGAGAGAAACTTTGCTGCAACCTCAGTCTCCTCCTTCTCCAGCTGTGGTCTCCCTGTCTCCTGTCCCACCTGTCTCACCTGTGCTGGCTCACTCACCTGCTGCACCACCAGAGACAACCGGCTCACCTGTTCCAGCTGCAGGTCAGACACAAAGCTAATTCTCTCTCAGGACCTTCAGTCTCAGGACCTTCAGTCTCAGGACGTTTAGTCTCCGGACCTTCAGTCTAAAGACTTTCAGTCTCAAGACCTCTATCTCAGGAGCTTTAGTCTAAAGGCATTCAGTCTCAGGACCTTCAGTCTCAAGACCTTCTGTTTCAAGACCTTCAATCTCAGGACCTTCAGTCTCAGGATGTTTCAGGATGTTTAGTCTCAAGACCTTCAGTCTCAGGATGTTTCAGGATGTTTAGTCTCAAGACCTTCAGTCTCAGGATGTTTAGTCTCAAGACCTTCAGTCTCAGGACCTACATTCTCAGGACCTTCAATCTCAGAACCTTTAGTCTCAGGACCTTCAGTCTCAGGACGTTTCAGGATGTTTAGCCTCAAGACCTTCAGTCTCAGGACCTTCAGTCTCAGGACCTTCAATCTCGAGACCTTCAGTCTCAGGATGTTCATTCTCAGGACCTTCATTCTCAGGACCTTCAATCTTAGGCCCTTCAGTCTCAGGATGTTTAGTCTCAAGACCTTCAGTCTCAGGATGTTTAGTCTCAAGACCTTCAGTCTCAGGACCTTCATTCTCGGGACCTTCATTCCCAGGACCTTCAATCTCTGGACCTTCAGTCTCAGGATGTTTCAGGATGTTTAGTCTCAGGACCTTCAGTCTCAGGACGTTTAGTTTCAGGACCTTCAGTCTCAGGATGTTTCAGGATGTTTAGTCTCAGGATGTTTAGTCTCAGGACCTTCAGTCTCAGGACTTTCAGTTTAAGGACGTTTAGTCTCAGGACCTTCAGTGTCAAGATTTTCAGTCTCAGGACGTTTAGTCTCAGGATGTTTAGTCTCAGGACTAAATGGCTTTAATTTACACAATGTGATTCATTGTTAAGAACTCAAGGATGAACTATTCTGCAGTTAACAAACATCTGACGAAGACTTTTCTTAGGAACTAATTTATATTGAAGATATTGGTGAATGTTATATACAGCTCAACGGAGCAGAAAACAAACATATTTATTCCATTATTCTACAAATCTATACAGACAGAAGACTAACATGTTTCTCTTTTCTGTTCATGAAATCCCTGTCAGTCATGTTTTATTGCACATAGTGAAACTATGAAATATAAATATGAAACCAGATAAAAACAGTAACATGTGTCTCTTCCTGTCATTGATCCACACTACTTACACAGAAGAGGAGGACTGGTCTGATGAGTTTGAAGACGATGGAGATGAAGCTCCTCCTGGTACGAAGCCTTCTGTCAATCAATAAGCATGTATACATGTGTACATTTACTGCAGACAGTACTAGTACAAGTACTAGTTGCTTTACAAACTAGGATTTTACACACAAAACATACAAAGAACTTTAAAAATATGATGCATTGTAAAAAACAAATGTTAACGTTTCAGCTTAAACAATAAATGATCAAATCAGTGATTGATCAACAATAAAAGTAATGATTTTTTCAAAATGAGCTTCACTTGAACTACAACTTTTACATTACTAAAAAATAAAATAAATGTACTGAGGAAAGTATTTATAACTACTTCATCTTTCACTGTGCTGGACCACAAAGAATGTTTGAATGATCACAATCATCAACGTCTTCCTTTAATGTCCCCAACCAGAAGACCTGTACGAGGCACCACATCCAGCAGAGACAGATGAGGACCTGTATGAAGATGTTTCCCTTCCAAACATCTCCTCCGTGAGTCCCCCAGGTTTTACTGCCTTCATATGTGGAATCTAACAACATTTACTCAAGTACTCTTCTTAATTAAACAGCATACTTCTACTATTCTGCATTTATTGGACAGCTTTCATACTGGGTACTTTTCACTAAAAGTATATCTCTGTTTATATGATACAGCATGTTTTAAAACTGTGTTGACGTTTTGTATAAAATCAGTGTGTAGTTGTGTTTCATCATTATGGTTCGGATTTCACCTCTAAACTTCTATTAATGTATAGTGAACTCACTATTATATTATTACTGAATATTGAACTCACTATTATATTATTAAATATTATTACTGACTATTGAACTCACTATTATATTATTAATGTATAGTGAACTCACTATTATATTATTGCTGAATGGTGAACTAAATATTATATTAGTAATGTATAGTGAACTCACTGTTATATTATTACTGAATAGTGAACTCACTATTCCTTTAAATGTATGACAACAAAGTGAAGTGCTCTTTGAATGATTATTGATATGAATATTAGGCCGGAGTCGTTGATGTGGAGACCAGTGGAACAAGCATCAGTGCCAGAGCTCTGTATGACTACCAGGCTGGTGTGTACACACACGCACACACACGCACACACAGGCAGGCACACGCATGCACGCACGCACACACGCGCACACACACACACACACACACACACTGTATCTCACCATCATCTCTCCTCCACAGCGGACGACACTGAAATCACGTTTGACCCTGATGACATCATCACGGAGATCGAGATGCTGGATGAGGGTTGGTGGAGAGGTTTCGGACCTCACGGAGACTACGGCTTGTTCCCCGCCAATTATGTTGAGCTTCTCTAGAACCATCTGACAGGAAGTGGATTAAGATAATAAAAGCTAAATATTTATCTTACATCAATGTGTCGTCATTGTCACATTAAAGATTTGTCTCAACGTTTATCATCACTGGATTAATAGACTGGTGTCAAAATAAATTATTAATTATTATACCTTCATAATGGTTTGATTTAGTAAAAAATAAAAATGAACTTTTAAGCACAAAACCAATTTTCAACAACTAGACATCCCAGATTGAACAAAAGGTAGTTACTTATCAGGATGATGAAAATAAAATATTTTGAAATGAGAATAGATAAATATAAAGAATAACAAATAATAGATTAGGGAATGAAATATACATTCAGTAGCACTGTAACGTTAGAAGACACGGAAGTTAAAAGACATCATGAACAAATGTAGTTACAACAAATCAAACACAAACACCACGAAGGTGACAATTTTATAAGTTATATACAAATTAAATTGACCAGAGTTTAGACAAGATCAATGAAGTGTTTGTGTGACGTGACGTGGTCACGTGTCATATATATATGTATATACACACATATATATAGTACAGTGATAGGTTAGTTATATTAAGTTAGTAAGTCAACTTATTTTGCAGTATAAGTTTTGGCAGCTGAGCTGCCTTAATTAACTGAGCATTCTGTGTTAAAATCAAAGTTAAAAAGCACTTTTGACAAAAACCTGAATTATTGGGACATCTGACTGTCAGCCAATCAGAAGCTCCGAAAACAGATTTTGTTTTTGTATTGAAGCTTTCTACACCCATAGAAACACTTCTACACTGTTAAGTAACTGCAGACTGACTTGATCAGTGTTGGTCATTGTGTATCGAGATGTGAAACAATGTGTGTGAGTGAATACTGAGCTATTGTAGTGTGTAGATCTGTCTTACATTCAGCTTACATTACCTCTTTATTATGTCGTCACACCAGCTTTGAGGCTTATAATAATAATTGTATTCATAATACAAGAATATATAATAATAAAAGTTCATAACGATGTCAGGTGTAAATAAGCTTTCAGAGAAGCAACATAAAGAACATGAGTTTTACAGTAAGTTAAGTAAGTTTTGTATATTTGCTCCTGAAGAAATATGACGAAATATGAATGTTTTCTATTGTGTAAACATATTAGTTAAACTGGAGTTCGTAACTGGCGCCTCTGTTGGTGACTCAACACAGAACTGAACCCGTTAAAGAAAATGAGTTGAGAAGAACTGCTTCACTTTGTTACGGTCCGGCTCTAGAACCATAGCAAAACATCACGAAAACTCAGGCACGGAGCTAAACAAATAAATACTTTTAATGAACAAAGGCCAGGACTTTAAGTGTGCAACAGAAAAACAGCATTCTCATCGTGAGTACCAGAAGGTTCCACTGCTGCCAGACGCTCCTTGCCGCACACCAGGTGTGAGGGGGGAAAAAGCCACCACTTCCTCCGGATGGGGCGGGTCTTGTAGGGCGAAGGCCATGGCCCATGCCTCCAATCTTCCTGATGTCCCTCTAATGATCCAGGGACACTGAAAGATAGACACTCCCTGGCAGAGGCCCTGGGCCGTCACAACTTTTACTCTCAAACTTCAGAATAAAAGCTCTGAAGTTTATAAACAGGAGATCTCGGATGGATGTAGAACACCAACGAAGAAGAGAGTAAAGTACATCCACAGCCGACAAACACTGGAGGACTTTATTGGAAGAATAAAAGGAGGTAAGAGGACCGAGTGTGTCGTACAGGACAGGAGTCAAAGTAAACTGAATGGAAATGGTTCAAAGAAACCACATGTGGTCCCTGTGTAACTGATAACATGTAAAGCAAAGACTGATGAGGTCAGCAGGTCCATCAAGTACTGGGACAGAACGAGGACCAATCAGATGAGGACTCACGGCTCCAGGAAGTAACCTACTACAGACAGAAGATGTTTCTTCTCCTCGTTCTGATGGAGGAATATCTGACAGAAGAGAACACTGTGCAGACAAACAGCTGTGGAACACAGTTCTATCAGAAGTTAGTGGGGGAGCTCGTGGGCCACCAGTTTGTAGTGGGAACCACAGGACGGGCAGCGCTGGGCCTCGCCCTCCTGGAGCCAGAACCACACCACGGCTGTGTTGTCTTCCTCACCTGCAGACAGGAAATGAGACCAGATGAGAGACACAAACACAGAAGAAGAAGGCAGGATGAATATTGTTCTAGTTCAAAGATGACTCGTTCACCACTACAGGAGGAACTTTAACAGACGTACAGTCCTGTCAGTCTTAACAGGAAGTGAATCACATGTCTCAGCCAATCAGGAGGCTTAAAGGTTCTCCTCTCCAATGCTGAGTGTGGACTCTAAAACGTCTCTCAACCATCCAGATAATGACAAGGACTTACAGACACATCCCACAATCCTCTTGTTCGTGATGGAGGGAACCAGGTGGGGGTCGGCCTTGGAGCCGGCGTACTCCTTCGGTTTCATCATGTTGTAGGGATCCTGAAGAAGAGGACGCAGTAAGGTTTGAATAATCTAAAGCAGGGGTCTTCAACGTTTTTCAGGCCAAGGACCCCCAAACTGATAGAGAGATGGAGCAGGGACCCCCGACTATATATATTGTATAACATTGTGTTTTATATTAAATGGGCCTAGTGCCGTGTATAAACATACCTCTTCATTGTGCGTTCAATACTAAGCTATCCAAACAATACAAAGGGTCATATATTCATGTTATGTTAAACATGTGCAAGGTACAGTGAGTAGGGGGGGCCGTGCCACTGCCATTTATAAACATACCATGTCAGCTGATACCAATGCCGACATCAACATTGTCTGTCAATTGCATGATAATCATACAAGCTATTCAAACTGATGTTTTTATTTTAAACATAAATGTGGAAACGAAAAATGGAGTGATGGCCTATTAGTGCCACTGCCATGCATAAACATACCTGTTATCTTGTATACAATACTGAACTATTAAAATAATGGACACATTCATGTTTAGAGAAAAAATTTAAATTATTTAAATTTTTTAATTGTCTAATCAACCAAAAATTTCATGGACCCCCTGCAGTACCTCCCTGTTGAAGACCTCTGATCTAAAGTATCGACTAAAGTATAAACTAGGTGAAACATACTGCATCATCGAAATATTGTAGGGGGCGCTATCGAGCCGACTAGCAACTCTGAAGCATTAAAACCATAATATGCAACTACATTTTGGGCTTTAAATCTGTTTGCCAAGTTTGCTCATGTTTCGAGCATTTTTAGCCTCTCAAAATGACCTTCGTTTTTCATGGCGAAGACTGCGTCGCCACGGCAATGGCGTTTGACGAAACTTCAAAAGCTTCATGAACTGGCATTATGAACTTCTTACATTTGTGTGGAACTAACTTGATGTTGATCTGATTTACCTACTAAGAGATACAAGCTAAAGTATAGACTTTAACTGACTGTTGCCACTAGGTGGCGCTATTACTATGATTCTAAATTGTCTTATAGATGTGTTCCGAGTCAGGATGTTATGACATAAGAGATTTGGAGCAGATTAGACAATGTACGGCCGAGTTACAACAACTTCCTGTTTCGTGGCGAATGCTGTTTTTTTGTCGCCACGCCACGGACACACAGTGCGATAACCTTTTGATCTTTGAGTAACTTTTAAATGCCAAGGTCTCAAGAGCATACTGACCGAATCTGAAGTCAATCGGGTTAAATCTCTAGGAGGAGGAGTTAAAGTATGACGCCTTAAAACGGTCCAAAAATGTCAAAATTCCTGTTTGGTTTAGTGAAAAATTCCTGGAGGATTTTTTGTACGTCCCATCACGTTCCACATACCTACCAAATTTCATACAGCTAGGTAAAACCAAATGTTGGGGCTACTCAATAGGGGGCGCTATCGAGCCAATATTTCATACCGCAGCTGGACACCCCAATCAGACTGCAATTTTCGCAAATTCTGGCTTGCGTGCAAAATTTAAAATTTTTTCCAGTATCCCAAGCACCTCCTTTTTGCGACGAAAGACACAAAATAATAATAATAAACATTAAAATAACAATAGGTCCTCCGCTCCGACTACGTCGGTGTTCGGGCCCTAAACATAATTGATGTGTACTTTCTTTATTTGACAGTTGTTGACTACACACATACGTTACTACTACTAGGCTTCTTGAATACATATATATGGCACTAAATAGTGCAAGTTAGATATTTATTGTAATGTTCGGGACCTTTGCACGAGGAGATTTTCTCAATCTGGGCCCCGTTCCTCGTACATGGCTAACTGAGTTAGCCGGATACTTTTCAGGATAAGATGACGTAGATCAGGCTTTTCGGTTCCATGAAGCAAGTTCGGCAAAATCACCATGGCAACACATCCATAAGCTTGAAGCTGCTCCAGCGCAGGCTAACTGAAGGTAGCTGGATAAGCTGCCACTCCCCCGGAAAACATGGCAGCTCCTGTCATATACGGTAGTCTAATGCGCTTGCGCATCTACCGGGGGTTATACGGGAGTTCCAGAAATGCATGTAAAGTGAGACACACGGTGATCCATTAAAACCAGCTGAGCAAACTAAGAAGCCTCTATTGCATTAATGTACAGCTCCCTTCCTCAGAGATCCACTGATGAAGGAGGATATTAGTTAGATTAGCGTTTTATAGGGAGAGAGTTCTTCCACATCGCCAAGATCCGTTATCACATCATGATGACTTCCTATACGAGCGCTATCCATTCTGCCCACAAGGAATCATTTATTTACAGACCTTCTGGAGCATACATTGAACACCACACGCTGCAGCCGAGCACTGATGTCTCACACACTGGATGCAGCCTTGAGCTGTTCTGCGAGTGGTACATTGTTGTACAGTGTCGGCGATGCGGAGAACATGGGGAAAGCCGCTGCATGCCGTGCTGTTGGTAAAGTTTATTCGGCGCTTAATAAACTTATGGATGTGTTCATTACATCACTATGGCACATATTGTACTGACTCAGCATTCTGAGTAATGTGTGTGTGTTAGTGTTTACTTGCTCCCATGTCCTCTTGATGGCTGCGTTGCATACATGAGGGTTAAAGCACTCATAATGATATGACAGTGTTATTAGTACACCAGCATATCATTACTGTAGAACATGATGAAGGTGGACTCATGATAAGAACAGAGAGAATCACACACTATTTATCTTCACTGCTTCAGTTGATTGAATGTCTGATGATGAATAACACACACACACACACACACACACACACACACACACACACACACACACACACAAACTAGTTCTATATGGTAATCTACACAGACATGTATATACACATATATAGTACATGATACATGAGGGCATACAGTACATATATCCTCATTAATGAGTATCAGTAGATACTCTTTGGGCTTGTTTTTATCTTATTCTGAAAGAGTTGAGATCATTATTGTCGCTATAGATCTCATTGGATGATGCATTCATTAAGCCTACTGCCAGCAGCTCATTTAAAGACATATCATCTGATTGATTGGGGTGATGAGGCATTAAAATGAGCCGATACATTTACAACACTTACGCATTTAACTTGTCTGTGATATTTTGCGTGCTTCTTGTCTAGCCCTCGCAGCGGTGGCGGTGTTATATTTTGCCGTGATTACGGTCTTGAATTCCTCATATGCATTCATGATCATCTCCTGCTTGTCAGCGGAGTAAAAAGAGGCTCTTTCTTTGACTTTATTTAACATTGTACTGTTAGAAAATCATGGTTTCGGTGATCGATGCTTCCCCCTTTTGACGTAGGACGGGCACGCGCAATTATTTTGATCCTGATCGTCTGGTTCGAATTAACGAGATTGTTTGAGAGGATCAGCCTTGGAGAAACCGAGATAGCCTGATGTCAATCATCGAGTTAATTTCAGCTGGCTAATAGGACATTTGATCGACTTAGCTGAACCACATACGAGGAACGGGGCCCAGGACCTTTTGGAGATTGACTTGAATACGCCTGATCTAAAGTATCAACTAAAGTATCGATGTATTGATCCAGTGAAACAATATGATTTATTGAACCGATTGTGTGTTCTATCAGTTCCCCATCACTTCATAAATATTCTGACCATATTAATAGAAATATTAAACACGTCATTAAAATAGTTTACCGATCCCTCCTTCATGGCCTTCATGATGACCTTCTCCAGACCGGTAGCTTGTTCCTCATCAGTAGGAATCCCTGAAAACAAGAGAAACAGGTGATCAGTGTTTAACATGATCCTCTGGATTCACAATGTAGGTCAAAGTAAAACATCTGTCTGTGGCAGAGCCCTCAGTCTGTGGCAGAGCCCTCAGTCTGTCCATTATACAGAACTGAATTCATCACATAGAAGCGACGAACACATAAAGCCTGTTGAGGACTGTGAGGATCACAAAGAGTAATAATAGAAGATATAAAACCGTACATTCACTCTTAATGTGAGCTCAATTAAAGAGTTTTAACCTGATTCTATTATAGAAAACTTCATGTTTTACAACTTATATCATTTAAAATAAACTAGATTTCTACTTTGTCAGATTTTTAAATGAAGTTTGGCCTGATGTTCGGTGTTTACTTATTTAATCAGCGCGTTAGCTACAGCGCTAACTGTGGTCTGTAATCTCTGGTGGACTTCCTGTCTCGTTCTGTGTCCTCTCTTAAACCTCATTTCATCGGTCCTTCCGGTTCTACAGTTCGGTGTCTAAAGGTGTCGGTTCGGTTCTCACCTCCAGCCGCCATGCCGCGGGTCAACACGGGTACCGGGGCCGCCCGGCAGGTCGTCGCTCTGAAGGCCCAGCGGAGCAGTAACCTTGCAGCCATTTCTTCTTCTCTGCTGTAAACGGGGACTGGTCGCACGCTGATGACGTAGGGGAGGAAATAACGTGTCGCTGGGTTTGAACTTCGTTTTTGCTCAATAAATCTATTTATGTTGTCATTTAACGTTTGTAATATGTTCACTCCAAATATTAATTCAATATATAATGTTTAATATTCAGTACAAACAGACACTGAATATTATTTAAATCTGTACATATTTAAATGTTTACCTCATGTTCTTGTTTTTATCTGTATGTCTACTTCTGTGAACGGTCATAAACACTGCATCACAGTTTGTTTACTCATGTTTTTCCATTGCGTTATCCTAAAGGTTAGGATAATACCCTGAATAGGATAGGCGTTTATCCTATTCGCTGGAGCAAAGGCAGGGTCCACCCTGGACAGGTCGCCAGTTTATTGCAGGGTACATATAGAGACAAACATTCACATTCACACCTACGGGCAATTTCGAGTCTCCAAATAACCTAAGCTGCTTGTCATTGGTCTGTGGGAGGAACCCGGAGGGAACCCACGCTGCCACGGGGAGAACGTGCAAACTCCACACAGAAGGACCGCCCCTCTTGCTGTGAGGTGACAGTGCGAGCCACTACACCACCGTGCAGCCCCTGTTTACTCACGTTTCTTCAGATAAACACTTTTTAAAGTCACTACAAGGAACTCTTTAGTGTGGATTGTGTCGCCCCCTGTGGACTAAAGTGGTAGTGTTTCACCAGGGTCCCTTTAGAAAACCTCTCATTTTACTGTAGCAGACAGTCTCCCCCTCTCAGTCCTGGTCCTGGTTCTCTCGTGCCTCCCCTCCCTCCGTCAGCGTCGTGTCATCAGGATTAAACCGAGACCGTCTCAGAACCAGTTCAAAGTTCCTCACAGAGACTTTAAATAAACCTTCAACTAATGCAGAGGTGAAAGGTGTGAACCAGTGTGCATGTTTCCTTCTACTCATGGTGCCCATCAGAACCACTGAGACCTGATTAAAACTGTATCAACAAGTCTCTGATCCACTTTAATCACAAACAGAACATTTGAAATGATTGAAGGTTTTACTGCAGGAGGGTTTTATTTGTAATGTATTTAAATGTAATGTATATAAATTAATTTGTAGGTGAAGCTAACAAACTGGAAATTCAGTGTAGAAGTCTTCACAAATCAGCACAAATACCTCTGACAAGGTTTTCCTTTTCTTTCTGTCCATTTATGAATCATCTAGAACAGCCTCTCCTCCTCCTCCTCCTCAAAGACCCAAAGAGTGAAGACGTCCATGTTTAGTTATTCAGAAACTTTATTGGAAGAATAAAAGGAGGTAAGAGGACCGAGTGTGTCGTACAGGACAGGAGTCAAAGTAAACTGAATGGAAATGGTTCAAAGAAACCACATGTGGTCCCTGTGTAACTGATAACATGTAAAGCAAAGACTGATGAGGTCAGCAGGTCCATCAAGTACTGGGACAGAACGAGGACCAATCAGACGAGGACTCACGGCTCCAGGAAGTAGACAGAACCAAAGTAACCTACTGCAGACTGAAGATGTTTCTTCTCCTCGTTCTGATGGAGGAATATCTGACAGAAGAGAACACTGGGCAGACAAACAGCTGTGGAACACAGTTCTATCAGAAGTTAGTGGGGGAGCTCGTGGGCCACCAGTTTGTAGTGGGAACCACAGGACGGGCAGCGCTGGGCCTCGCCCTCCTGGAGCCAGAACCACACCACGGCTGTGTTGTCTTCCTCACCTGCAGACAGGAAATGAGACCAGATGAGAGAGACAAACATAGAAGAAGGCAGGATGAATATTGTTCTAGTTCAAAGACGACTCGTTCACCACTACAGGAGGAACTTTAACAGACGTACAGTCCTGTCAGTCTTAACAGGAAGTGAATCACATGTCTCAGCCAATCAGGAGGCTTAAAGGTTCTCCTCTCCAATGCTGAGAGTGGACTCTAAAACATCTCTCAACCATCCAGATAATGACGAGGACTTACAGACACATCCCACAATCCTCTTGTTCGTGATGGAGGGA